GTATACTTCCACACACTCTAATAGGAGAGCACCGGACCCGAATGATCCGGCCACCTTGATGAAAGAAGATAGTATATCACTTTGTTGTAAAATGTGGATTGATAATTTTCGAGAACCTGATAAGACAGTGAATAATTTAACTGATTATTTAAGGAGATTTGAGTTGTGGGTATTAGCTTATCAAAAAGTTTCTGCTGATGATACGGGTGCGTATATGCCTCGCAGTGCGATTACTCGGCCAGCCCTTGAGGATTTGTTGGCTTTGAGAAATGCAGTTTTAGACAATAGATTTAAGTGGGGAGCTAGGTTGGAGTTTTTTATTAAATCTCCGAGGGATAAGACGGATTATGAGTCGTTATCGAAGAGGAAGATTAAAGCTATCTTGACTACAACACAGCCAAGTGCATTTCAGGATAGGATTGTGCAGGAAGTGTTGTTTATGATATTGGAGCCGGTTTATGAGGCTCGGTTTTCGCAGAAGTCGTTTGCTTTTCGACCTGGAAGGACTGCACATACAGCTTTGAGGGTTATTAGGAGAAGCTTTGCAGGGTATTTGTGGTATATAAAAGGGGATTTAAGTACAGTTTTGGATGGGATGAAGGTTGGGATGGTCATTAGTGCTTTAATGAGGGATGTTAGAGATAAGAAGGTAGTTGATTTGATAAAAGCTGCTTTAACTACTCCTGTGGTAACTACCAGACCTGATGATGTTGAGAAAAAGAAGAAGACGAAAAGAAAGTATCAGAAGAAGAGAGTCTTAGCAGATGATGAGCCGAAGCCTGATCCATACTGGCTGGAATCATTCTTTGGGTTTGCTCCAGAGGAGGCTGAGAAAGTACCTTCATGGGGGCATTGTGGTATACTTAGTCCACTTCTGGCTAATGTTTGCCTTGATGAGTTGGACCGCTGGATGGAAGGTAAGATTCAGGAGTTTTATCGGCCTTCGAAGAATGATGTCATTTGGAATAGTCCAGATGGGGAAGTAGAACAAGGAAATACTTCTTGGCCCGAATTTGTTCCTACCAGTGGGCCTGACAAGACCAGGAAGATTGATTACATCCGTTTTGGTGGTCACATTCTAATAGGGGTAAGAGGACCAAGAGCAGATGCTGCAACGCTAAGAAAGCAGTTAATTGAGTTCTGTGATCAGAAATACATGCTCAAGCTTGACAATGAGAGCCTTCCTATTGAACACATAACAAAAGGTATTATGTTTCTTGATCATGTATTGTGCCGTAGAGTAGTCTATCCCACACTTCGATATACTGCTACTGGTGGGAAAATCATTAGTGAAAAGGGTGTAGGGACACTGCTCTCTGTCACAGCTAGCCTGAAACAGTGCATTAGACAATTTAGAAAGTTGAACTTTCTCAAGGGAGACAGGGATCCAGATCCACAGCCGTGTTTTAGAATGTTTCATGCAACTCAAGCCCATACAAATGCTCAGATGAATAAGCTTTTGTCAACAATGGTGGAATGGTTCAGGTATGCTGATAATAGAAAAAAGATTGTTAATTTTTGTTCTTATATCATTAGGGGTTCACTTGCTAAGCTCTATGCTGCAAAATACAAGCTTCGGTCACGAGCAAAGGTTTACAAGATTGGTTCTAGGACTCTTAGTCGTCCTCTGAAGGAGAAAAAGGGACAGTCACCAGAATACCATAACTTGCTGAGGATGGGCCTGGTGGAATCAATTGATGGGCTCATGTACACCCGCATGTCCCTGGTACCGGAAACTGATTATACCCCGTTCCCAGGGGCTTGGAGGCCCGATCATGAGAAGGCACTGCTGGAATATATAATGCTGAGTGACCAGAAAACTTTAGAGGAGCAACAGAACTGCCTAAAAGAACAAGGTCTGATCTCACCTCAGGATTACATTTCAATGCTCGTTTGGAACTACAAAAGAAATGCTGTTCCAGTAGATCAGAAAAGTTTGTTACTAGGCACAGGTGAGGAAAAAGATAATGAAGGAAATGAAAGTGATGATGATGAAGGGGTTCATGCAGCAGAAATTTAAGCAAGATTAACACTTTTGGAAGTCTTGCTCACACTACTTTTTTCGAAAGAAAAGCAAACTTTTTATGGTACTTAACGTACTTGTGTTACCAAGAAGGGTGTAGCAGCTTCTGTGTAAGTACCCCTCTTCCAGTGGCAGCCTGATCCATGAGAAGGCATTGCTAGGGTATATAAAGCTGAGTGACTGGAAAACATTGGAGCAACAGAGCTACCTTAAAGAACACGGTCTTACATCACGTCAGGATGATAATAGGAGAAATGAACGTGATGAAGAAGGGGTTTATGCAGCAGAAGTTTAAGCCATATTAGTGCTTTTGGAGGTCCTTCAGGCTTTGTTCTTCCTAAACCTAAAGAAAATCATATTTTACATTTTACGGGTACTAAAGTTACTTGTATTGCCAAGAAGAGTGTAGCAGCTTGTATGTAAGTATCCAATTTTATAAAATGAGATAGTTCCTCTGTTCTCCGTCACTGCTTTTGTTTAAGCTTCAGTTTCCACTAGCAAACTTTACATTGTTATGCTCCTTACTTATTCATAATAATCTATGAGCATAACTGTTTACTGCTCTTTCCTCATTGAGAAATGGTTTAAAACATATAACTTGTACTTTTCAATGCAAACATATTACGTTGTTTGAATTTGTTATGTATACACATTGATCTTAGTAATAACAGCTAATCAGTTTTTTTATAAGAACTAATCAATCAGCATCTAAAAGAATTTCATTTAGACACTTGAACTATATTCAAATTGTGTTTATTAGACACATTCTTGACATGGCATAGTGTGTAATACACCTATTATAAGCACGTGCAAGTCATATTTGCATATTTAACAAAAAAAAAATTATTTCTTCTTCCTCATTCTCCCTCCCAGCCACCACCTCCTCCACCATAATGCATCATCCTCATCACCACTGCCATCACCACCACCGAACCTTCACTCTTACCCTTCACGTTCTTTTCACCTGCCGTTCTGCCACAACCTCCACCACTAGATCTGTCCTTTACACTTCTCCCTTCTCTCTCCTCGCTACATCACTGCCACCACTACCCACAACCAGGTTAGATAAAACAATTAAATATTGAACCTCATGCCAAAGTTAAGATCTTCCATATTTGTAAATTTTGTATCTTCAGTTTTATCTTCTAATTTCTTCTCCCTGCCCCCTCTCTGTCTGTGTTTTTAGCAACTCACGGCATCATCATTCGGTTATTTTCACTTGTGCTTTATACCATGTCAGTCCCAGAGGGTTTTCTAAACTTCCTTGTTCCAATTATAGTATAGAGCTAAGTTTACTTAATCAAACATCATCAATAGTTGCATTTAATGGCAAACAAGTGAGAAATCTAGCCTTTTGAAAGGAGACAATTGTCGGGAGAGTTAAACTTTGAAAGTGACTGACTGGAGGTCTCCAGGTAATGTTATCTATCTCCCTGCTAAAAGACTACAGCATTAACAATTTGCTCTTTTTGCTAAATATTAATGTATTTATCTTTTATACTATTGTTGTAAATGCTAGATGTTACAGTCGTCTTATTGATTGGACAACTTTATAAGCATGGTACAGGAATTCAAGTAAAGTACTTTATACAGCCTGAGGTTAAGCGCTTTACTGCCTTGGCTAATCCTGAATTGGGATATTCTTATCATGATCTTAAGCTTTTCTTAATGAATTTACTCTTGCTCGCTGAGTACAAACACTCGCGCTCTTCATAGTTAGACAGACTTAGACTACTACATATTGCATGATTATTGTTCTAGGAATGTTGAAAGCTCAATCTGCTGTAAACTTTGTTACAAATTTGAAGAGCCTATATAATCTATGTCAGCTTGCAGGATTAGCAGTATCTAGGTTTAGTTGAATAACTCTCAGCTATGCATATTTCTGAGAGGAGGAAAGCACATGACATGTCATGGTCAGATAATTTCAAACTGAAACAAATACATATAAGCAGAAAATTGATGATACTGCGTTCATTTTCAGGCAGATGTCTTACCTGGTTATTAGTAAGTAATGCAACAATGTGTTTTTATCATATGTTCTACCTAATTTCCTTAATCAATATTGAAAGAGATGATTAATCCATGCTTTTATCAGAAAAAGAACTCAATTGGAACAGTAGAGTTCAGATTTTCTCCTTTCTGTTCGGTGTGGTATCAACAATTTTGAGAAATCATATTTCCAGCAAGTTTAATTAGTGTGGTAAAAATGATAATTCCTGTTTTGCATCTTTGGTGCAGTGCTATAGAAAAACATGTATCAAAGATGTTATACTAGACGATGGGCAACAATCAAAAAACATACTGGACAATGGACATGATTGTTTCTTTTTAAGCATTCTACTAGTGCCAACTGGCTATATTAGTGCCAACTGTGAAATCATCTGCTGTCCCCAATCAATAAAAGAGAACATTTTGGGCTTAGCCAATTGATAACTTTCTACTAGTTTTCACTTCTTAACTCTTTATTTGTTTGGATGTAGTTATCCCCAAATCATGGAAAGAAATGCAAATTTGCTCTGAGAAGGTTCCATGAAGCCACACCAGTTTGGACCATTGTGAGTACCAACTGATCAGTACGTGTACCTGCAGACTGACTTCAAATTTTGTTGTCATCATCTCCGATGCTTGGTTGGTGCACTGCTTCTTAGATAAAAATGAGAAGGGAAAAGGAAATTTCCACCCCTTCCCTTGGTTCATTATCATGTCTGTTTACTTACAAAAGATTTGTTCTAGTTCATTCAAGTATTAGGGAGTTCATTGATGTTCATTCGACAAATATATCTTCATGAGCATCCCAGAAAACCCTGCTTTATGTTATGCCATACAAACATGATATTTGTAATGTAACATTTTTGAAATGTTCTGTGCATGTTTGTCTTAATGGACTAGCAAGTTTATCTTTGGTTTAAACAGTGAGGGTATTGGGTAATCATATACTCCAGTTACATTTACTTCTGCGTTGACCAATGTTTCTTGCTAACAAAATTGTGCACTTTGTTTCCCATAGCTGTATGTTTTATTCAGCTGTATAATTCATACCTACTGAACCTTGCTTTATCAAGGGTTCCACCAGTTCATGTCTTGATAAATCATGACAATCAGCTGTGGCTTGCAAGTACTGGTAATCTCCTTCCTTGACAGCACACAATTGCTGAGAAAGCAGCTAAGAGCTGCCTCTTCTGAACAATCTAGACTGAAATTTATGAAGCTAGCACATTGTAACGTGAGGTTTAAGGGGATGGAGATGGGTTTTCAGAAACAGTTCGGGGAGGGCCTTTGAAGTGACAAATCTCATCTTTAACTATATGGATCTTAACACTTGATTATATAGTGCTCTTTTTGTTGTTACCATTTATCTTGTGTTAGTCCCAGTTCTCTTGTTAATTGACCTCTAATGTGTATGTTTTCAACTTTGATGTGCAAATATCCTTGCCAGGGGAAAGGAAAAGGGGGATGGGGATAACAAGACTTGTTGATCAGTATTTCTACAAGAATTTAGCAACCCTTTGATGTCCCATTCAGTACACAATTTATAGCTGCCACATCTTAAGAAGATACATTAGTTAGCTGAGAAGGAACAGAGGAAACTTGTTGAATGATGCATGAGGAGATGTCACTCAATTGGAAGAGATTGTAATTCTCCTTTGCTAGTAGTGTCAACTCTCCTTGCTTCTCAGTGAACTCTTCATCACATGTTGATGTCGCATCCATAACTGTCCTCATTAGTACAGTAGCTATATCAAAATGCTCAGCCAAGAACGCGACAAAAGCATCAACCAGCATGGTAATAGCATCTACATAAAGTTCCAAGCAATCTCTTAAACAGTTCATAGCAAAAGGATCAAACTCTTTGCTACTGAGCATCTTCTCAATGCTTGAAATCGTGTTGGTAGCATTTTCTAGAGCAAGCTCCATTGCTACAATTCCTACTCCTTGTAAGTTGGTAACATGAGTTATAGGAATTGCTTGGAGTGAAGTAACACAGAAGTTGTAGTTTATGTTTGCTGACTTATCTGAACATTCTTTGCAGGTTGAGTTGATCAAGTCTAACAATGGTGGGGAAATCAGGTAACAGTGTGTAGGAATTGTTGTTAATAGTAAGAATAAGCAGCAAAGTGAGAGGGAAGAGAAAGAGCAATGCCACATTATTCTGAGTTATAGGAATTGCTTGTGTTTATTGTGAAGTGATATTTATATACATTGAACAGAATTACAGAATGGAGAGTTAACACCAGGAGGAAATTTCCTAGAAACTCATCAAATGAATTGAGCAAATGTGACTAAGGTTTAGGAAATTTCACTTCAAAATTTGGATCTTTCCCCCCTTTCTAGTACAGTTCAGAGTGGGATAAAGATGATGGGGGAGGAGAGGTGGAGGAAAAGTCAACCCCCTCCCCCCCCAAAAAAAAAGAAAAGAAAAAGCCTAGAACATTAGCAAGTTAAGCTATAAATTGATGTTTTTAAGATTGTCTAAAACTTGAATAGCTCTTTAGGATTCACATACTTGGTGGAAAGTCTTTTTACCAAAGATAATTTTATATTCATGTGTCAAAACCCGAGACATCTAGTTAAAAGAGGAGTAACATCTCATCCTTTGATAGAAGCTATTTAATTTCTTTTGAGCAAAAGGTCAAAAATACCCTATCACTTACCCCAAAAATGGATGAAAACCCCTAAATCACCGCCATACTATCACCAATCACCATCATTAAGCACTTATGTTATCATCCTAAATCACCACCAGTAACCACCTATGTCATCACAACTATCATTGACAACCATCACCACTCCCAACCATTATTGTCAACCGCTATAACTTCACCTTCATCGTTATAATTATATTAATTACCATTAACATCGCTACCTCTAACACCATTATAAATCACGCGTACCGCTATTACGGTCAATCCATACTACCAACCAACACCGCCAGTACCACTGCTAACTACCACCAACACATCGTCAATCATCATTATCACCGTCATTTCCATATCACTATCAGTCATTTCCACCACTACGATAATCCTTATATATGACTAATCATTTTCACCATCACAACTAGCATCGTCACAAACTATCATGTCTACACATCGTCAACCACCACATATCCCTCAACCACCATCATCAACGCTGTCAACTATTAACATCAATCAACTTCACCATCATAACTACCACCACTATCAAACAACACTATCTTCGTCATCATCATCATTATTAGCCGCTAGCATTGTAGTTCACCTTCACAGAATCACGACCCTTTGTCCCAGACATGATAGCAATCCCCACCAGCACTAACAAACATAAATATTTAATTAAATAATAATTTTAATTATTTAATACTCAAATTTAAAAACAACTTAATCATCATTTAAAGACATGCCAAATCTTAGCAGTGTGAGGTGACACGTTTCATTTACATATTTGGTACGTGTCTTTTGTAAACTTGATAGCATTGTGTCAGCATTCACTCTGTGTATTTCTTCAGTACTCACCTCTCTCTCTCTGATCATATCAAACTAATAATTTACACACACCAAAAAAGAAGAAGAAAGTAGAAATTAGAGTATTGTGTTTGTTTGCAGAGGAAAAATGTCATCAGCTCAAGTAGATCCACATGACAAAATGAGGGGTAGAGATGTTAACAAAGTAGCCAAAGGCGAACAAGCACCTCGCCCTGTTCATGAATTTGGCACTGTTTCTAAGCCGCCTCCTCCTTCCTCAACTGATCATCTGGTCTCCACTCCATCCTCCTCTTCTCACTCTCTCAAAACTCTGTATATTTCAAAATTTTGAATGTTGATTTGAATTCAAGCTTCTAATTTCTATCTACTACTAATCAATAGTTGGATTGGATTTTTATATATGTTCTATTGATCTGTGTTTATTGAGTGATGAATTTTGTGGATGTGAGATTGCAGTTTGAAACGGAAGAGAAAGCTAAAGCTAATGCAATTGCTGATGAAATCCGCCGTTGTTATGCTTGTTTCCGCAGCTACCTTAAGTTTGTTCGCTTTTTCCTACAATGTTAATTATGATTATATCCATTAATAGAAGAAAAAAAAGAAGTAGAATTATTATTTTGCTGTTAATTTACACTTTTGATAATTCTTTTTTATTTTTGACTTGTAACGAATGATTAGATGCCTTGAAGAGAAGGGCAACAAGGACTCGGAGTGTGACAAGCTTGGGAAGGCTTTCAAATCATCTTGTCCTTCAGAATGGGTATGCAAAATAGAGATTTGTCATAAAAATGTGAATATTTTTCAAAAGCGAAAATGATATTTGAAAATTGGAATGGTTTGGGGTTGACAACTTTTTGGTGTTTTTTTTCAAATGTTGAATTTTGGATGGGAAAAAAGTAAAAACTATTATGGTAATATGCATAAAGGCATACTTAGTTTCACAATCTCAATTATGGTGTGATTTAAACAACCAGATATAACATCATATGACCTTTGACACCTAACACCAAAGAAAATACAATCCAAAATAGACAAGTTTTCTACATATATACTTTGTTTAAGAGTTAATTTGAATAAAGTTATATAAGAACTAAAAATTGAACCAATTCAAATGATCATTTATAAGTTATTTCTAGTATATATTTTTTTTTATAACTGTACACATGGGAATAATATTGTATGATTTGTGTGCTTGTGCAGATTGAAAAGTGGCATGAAGAGAACGTGGTCCGTAGATAGGGGCTTCTGCAGTTTATAATGGCACCTGCCTTTGCCAATAGAGAAAGCTTTTAATAACACTTAGCATTTTTTTAAAGGGAAAAATGTCTGAAATATATCCGAACTTTGATCGAAATTGCCGTAACAATACCGAATTTGGAAAGGAATTTTTACCCCTGCACTATTTAATAGTGTATTTTAAAGTAAATAGTGTATTTTAAAGGTATATATGTGTCCACGTGGACATCATAAATATTGCATCATTATAAATAGTAGTGTATCCATGTGGGTAAATATATATTTTTAAAATATACTATTAAATAGTACAGGGGTAAAAGGTCATCCATAAAATTTGGTATCGTAACAATAATTTCGGTCAAAATTGAAATATTTTTCAGACCCTTTTTCTTTTCTTTTTTTAAATTATGAAATGACACACCAGAACCATTTTGTCAATTCTATATGTTACACTTGGTATAAACTTTTTTTTTTATATATATATATAGTCATCGATGTACAACTTAGATGTAGTTACCATTTCTCAATGTTTGTTCGCTACCATTAGAAATGGAATTGAAGATGACTTGAACATGACCATAATAAATTCATTATCTTTTCCCAATGCAAATGCCTCAATTCCCGCACCTTGCCATTTCATCACCTGTCGGCCTATATGCAAAAAAGTGAATTTAGGATTTGAAGATTTCAGGTGCTTAGGTGCTTCGATATTATATGAGTTCTAATTTAAATTTAAAATAAAAAGAATGAAAAAGGGCTTTAGCCAGATTCAAATCTCTGCTTTTTCATGGATGAACTATTAACTATATTATAGTTTATGTCGATTTTTTAAACGACATATACATATGATTTTTCTGTTGATTTCTCAAAATAGATATACATATTATTGTTTAAGTTAACGGGTGTGTGGCCCTCCTAAGGTCAATGACGGATTCCGGATTTTTGCTCAGGGGATCAAAGTATAAAGGAGAAGTTCAGGTGGTAATGCAAATGCGCAGTAAGGGTAGTAGTCCCTCGGCATGCTCTTTGTACAACAACCATAGATATTTCATTGGTTCATAAAGTAAAAACTAAACTAATCAAAGATATCGAGGACAAAGATACATTCATAAGAATTTTAGTGGATCGACTGTATTACATAACTTAACTCCTAAAACACGTGAAAATTAAATGATGAAAAAAGAGCAAGACGGAAAAGAAAGATATTTACCTTATCATGTTAAATTTAACTTACTAATTTATCATACCATATTAATCATTTCTTCCTACTTTTATCCTGCTCTATCGAGCATTCTTAAAATTTCTTGTGCTTTTTATTCTTTTATTATTCTTTTATTTTGTAATGTTTTACTTTATTTTTCACTTTTTAAAAATTTTAAATTAGCATCCATTCAATCACATATTACTATGAAAATTGTCAAGATTGTCTAAAAGTGTGTAAAAATAGAGTTACTAATATTATAATGCATATTCAGAAGATAAATAAATAGCATCGTCAATTTTTTTTAGTTCATATAGTTCAATTTACTAGGTTAGTCATAATTTGTAAAAAAGACAAATAACGAATAAATCAAATATGTTTAATTTTCATCTCTCTAAAATAGAATTAAAAATATAAAAGAAATTTCATGAATTCTATAAATTAATATTTTTGAAAGGATGTTGACGATATTTAAGTTTCTTCATTCAATTACATTTAATTTACCTTTTTTAAAAAAAATAAATTATATTTCTATCTCAATTTCTAGTTAAATATAATTCATCATTTTTTTTAAAAAGTTATTCAAGTTAGTATATGAAAAAATAGTTACCTTGAAACAAAATGAATAATAGTTATAAAAAGAATAAAAAATAAAATTAAAAAGAATGTGTCTAATAAATTTAAACAAAAACAAATTAAAAAGAAGAAATAGAACAAAAGGAAAAATAATGAAAAAGAAGAAGAAAGTCTAAGCCAAAAAGTTCCATTTTCCAAAGCATTTAAAGGAGGGCAAAAATGTTAACGTTATATATACCGTGTAATTTTTTGACGAGGGGGTTCGGGTGAACCCCTAGGTCCACCTAGGTCCGCCCCTGCCTAAGGTGTGGGTCTGCCTCTACTATCATGCATTACTAAACTCCTATCCCGATCAACGACAAAATTAGGATTTTTTTTTGTCAAAATACGAAAACGTGTAATAAGTAAAAATAAATAAATAAATTATGCATATAATAACAATAATATTTGAACTTGGTAGAATATTTTATTCAGATACTTGACTAGAGCCTTGTTTAGAAACTCCTCAACTCATAATACGGTAATACAATTGGATACTTTCGATTTAACTAGGTTGTTAAGAAAATAGGACATCTCTATGAATTACATGAAATTTTAGAGGATTTAGTTGATGCGTCGTAATATACGATTAAAAAATGACATATTTTATATGATTTATTTACTATACCTAATAG